TTTAAATTTTCATCATGAAAGAGCCAACAATGAATATGAATCGGTAAAATGTTTGAATTTATTTATTTTTAATTTTTACTCGAGTTACCTGCCTGAAACCACCTTTGCAATCTCAGTCCATCTGTTTCCAAATATCTTCTGTGCCTGCAGAAAGATGCACCGAGCACATCATATTTGCAATGAATGAACAAAAATAAAATTTCCATTTCTTAGAAAAAATATACGGTAAGCATTTTATCGTTGACGAGCATTTGTGACATAATAGTCGACGTATTATAATTGCAACAGTGACATCAATAAAAGAGAACTAAACTAAACAGATAATAGTTCATATCGCTGCAGACGAAAAAAAAAAAAAAACGGGTCGAAATTTCGAGTCGAAACATATTTTGAATATTTTTACCTCGCATAAGAGCATATCTTCCTCCGGTGACCATCCTCCTTTCTTGAAATCGGAATTCAAGTAGGTGAACCATCTGTGCATACCATCACATTCGAATCAAAAATAAAATTTCGATTAAAAACATAGCTGCAAAAGACAATAAAATAAAAATAAAAATAAAAACGGAAAGAATTCATGAGGCCATCAAACTGATAGATACCACACGAACCTTCTTCGACATTGTCTCGTCGTTTTATCCTTGAACTTTGATGCAATAATTGTCCAACTATCACACAAAAATCACACCCCAATAAGTTTCAATTCAACACCAATGATCATATTTTTAACACAACAAAAATATAAGCTAAAAAGGAATCAAAATATGTTACTTTTCAGTCCCATGTAATCTAATTTGCTCCCGCAGAATATCATCCTCCTGCGAACCCGACGAAACGAACATTCACTTCAGATTAGTGATCAATTGCAAGATGTATATCCAAATTTGAATTTTATTCCAAAAAAAAATCAAGAATCTATGATTTATGAATTTATGAAGACCTCACACCTCTTGAGACCAAGAAACTATATGCCTCTCCTTCTGCTTCGGCACTTCGACGTTATTATTCGCCTCGTTTTTGCACACCTTCTTCATTTTCTCCATAACTTGCAAGCTTCTATCACATTCTCTATCATGCTCAGCACCAAAATTCCTCAATGGGAGGCTATAAAAACAACGGCAATCGAAAAAGAAGAGACAAAACCCGTGAAAAAAGATCGAATCTTTTAACCTCTTTTCGACAGCATCATCAAAACAAATACACAAAAAAATGAAACTTTAGGTCTTTTTCCTAGGATTCTACCCTTTTTTTCTCCCTCTCTGAAGCAATACATCAAACACAAAGAAGAACAAGAATCAATTCAAACCTCCCAGGTAGCAGCATTATTGTTCCACTTTTTCTTACACAAGCCCACATACTAATGAAAAAAAAATAAATAAATAAAATGCATACCCAAAATATACCTTTAGGACCCGCATCAAGAATTTAAGGAATTTCTAACCCAAGACAACATTTTTTTCTTTTTTTTTTTTTTT